CAATTCAATCTAAGCTTATGAACCAGAAATTGGAAAAACAGGAAAATTAACCAACAAAATTAGGACTATAAAACTAATAACAAGGAGATGCATTAATTTAGTTTAATAAGCACGATGGATGTGAAAATGACTCTAATTATTTAGTTTGTGAAATGGGATACAGAATAAAGTAGAATCTTTTTTTCTTGCAAAAGAAAATACATAAGAATTCATAAACAAAAGTAAAACAAGACCAGGTGGGTATGGCAATGATTAAGTGCCAGGTGGGTCCCTGGAGCTGGTGACCCTCACCTGCTGCACTGCCCAGCTGACTGTAGGCTCCATTGTTTACTCTTCAGCCCTCCTATAACATCCCCTTGCTGGACTGAGCAGTGGGGTAGGGGAGACGCAAGCAGTTTAAGTTGCTCTCCCTCCACACTTACTCCCCCATTCCACCAGCCCCTGATGGAATGATGCCACCCCTAGTGCAAGCAGCAATGGGTGGGCTAGATCAGGTAAGTCTGTTCCTGCACAGATGCCCGAGGATAGTCAGTGCCCTTTGCTACTGGCACACTCAGGCCTCACTGATGACCTTAACTCTAGAGGGGACGGGAGCCCCTGTGGAGAGAATGGGAGGAGGGCCCGCATCCCTGCATTTCCATGGAGACCGATGTCCCTCTCATCTCCCAGGTCCACCTTTACTGTGGTATGTGTCTGTGGGTCTTATCTATGGTAGCATCTATGAATGGGGGGATGGGTTGAGAAGCACTGGGGTGGAGATAGAAGGTTTGGAACAAGATTTACATCTTGAAGAAGATTTAATCCTTTGTCTATAAAATCCAGACTCATTGGGACTTTTGTTTTCAGGTTTGACCATAGCAATAGTTCTAGTATAATAGAAAAGATGCCTCCCAGTGTCTGTTACCTAAGTGAGTCACCTTTAAAAGAGCTGCAGAATATACCACAATATGGATGTGCTATAGTTTACTGTAATGGCTCTCTGCTTTTGTCTTTAGTCCTTTGCTATTATAATGCCCCTGTGAATATTGTGTGTGTATCTCTCATTACATAGAAACAACTCTTTAAAAGAGTTAACTGAAAGTGCTGACAGATGTTTGGCTATGCAGTGATCAGTTACATTGGACCTCAACTTTAGAAATTCTAGGTTCTGCTACAAGATATAGCTATTTAATGGTCTGCAGTTTCTTTGCAGACCATTTGCAACGATGTTTCTTCTCAATGCCACTTCAACCAGTAAAGCCCAGGATCTCCAAGTTCAACCAAGGAAAAAGTACAGGGTAGAGCTCAGAATAGGAGCTCTCAGGTCATGTTCCTCTAGGCTCCTGTTCCCACACCGCCAAGCTTTACCTATACGACTTGAGGCCTATAGGACATTACACCTTTGCAGTCGTGAAAAGGGTGGTTGATACAGTGATGAATTCATAGAGATGTTTTAGAAATTAAATAAGAATGGGATTGAAGAGATGGCCCAGTGCTTAAGAGCACTCGTTCTTACAGAGGACCAGTTTCCATTCCCAGAATGCACACAGTGGCTCATGACCATTACTGCAGGGGTTTGGTGCCTTCTGATCTTTGTGGGCTCCAGGTATGCACACGGTGCGCAGGCATGCAGGCAATCACTCATATACATACCAAAAAAAAAAAAAACAAACAAAGAAATGGAATAAGATAATGACTTTTGGAAAGATCTTGGTATGTAATAAGTGTTCAATAACATGCTTCAGGTAACAAATAGACAGGAACTTTCTGGTTAGTTCTGGTTAGGTATAAATTCATCCCTGGGCAAGTACAGGCAATTTATGTTCAGCTTTCTCCTTTGGTTAGCAAAGCAGTTTAAAACGTTTATCTTTTTGTTTGTTTGTTTTGTTTTTTGAGACAGGGTTTCTCTGTGTAGCTACAGAGACAGTCCTGGAACTTTGTAGACCAAGTTGGCCTTGAACTCACAGAGATTCACATGCCTCTGTCTGTGGCTGGGATTAAAGGCTGTGCCACCACCATCCAGCAACTTTTACCTTTTGCAGTGCTTGAGATGGAACTTACAACCCTGGTACATATTTTGTAAGTGGTCTACCATTGCCTAGAAATTTCCTTGATTTCAAAAAACATTAAAATATATACAAACTATATTTAAGTATAAAAATGTATAAATGTCTTAGCCATTGACCAAAGACAACTCTTACAAAAGGAAGCATTTAATTGGGGGCTTGCTTACAGCTTCAGAGCTTAGCTCATTATTGTTAGGGCAAGGGGCATGGTGGCACCTAGACAGGTGCTGGGCAGTAACTGAGAGCTGTAGATTCTGATCCTTGGGCAGAGAGACACAGAGAGAGCCTGGACTGGTGTGGACTTTTGAAATCTCAAAGTCCACCCCTAGTGACACAACTCTTCTACAAGTTCACACCCTTTTCTAATAAGGCCACACCTCCTAGTTCTTCTAATCCTTTCAAGTAGTGCCACTCCCTTTAAACATTTAAATATGCAAGCCTTTGAGGCCATTCTTATTCAAATTATCACATTCCAATCCCTGGCCCCCATATGTTTTTAGTCATAATGCAAAAATGCATCCGTCCAACTTCAAAAATCCCCATAATCTGTAACAGTCTCAACATTGTTTAAAAGTCTAACGTTTGAAGTCTTCTTTCAGACTCATGACCTCTCTTAACTACATTCCCCTATAAAAATCAAAATTAAGGGGCAAGGAGGAATGTAGAATGTACATCTGAGAGATGGCTCAGAGGTTAAGAGCACTGGCTACTCTTCCAGTGGACCTGAGTTTCATTCCCAGCAACCACATGGTGGTTTACAACCATTTATAATGAGATCTGGTGTCCTCTTCTGGCCTGCAGACATATATGCAGACAGACACTGTATACATAATAAACAAATCTTTAAAAAAATCAGAATTAAAAAACAGATCATATACTTCCAGTATACAATAGCACAGGATATACATTACAATTCTAGAAGGGCGGGGGGGGGTGGGGGGAGCATAGTGAAGAAATACTGAATCAAAGCAAGAGTGAAAACCAGCTGGGCAAACTCTGAAACTCCACGCCTGATGGCAAAGCACTCTTAAGTGCTCACAATTCCTTTTAGCTTTCTCTTTTTCCAGGCTGGTTCTGCACCAGGTCTGCAGAGCTCCTTGGCAGGTTTCTCACAACCCTGTTATGTCCAGGCTCTTGGGGTCTCCAACAGAATCCAGGTTTTACCTTCACATTTTGGATTAATGTCATTGAGAGAGGAGATTTCAAGACAGCCTCGCACTGACTGTGTCCTTGGTGACTAGCACTCATTCCTATGTAGGTCTATAATGAAAAGGAGCACGCAGCCTATTTTGGCCTCCATGAAGGAACACCCCTGGCACATGCCTGACCTCAGTGATTTGCTTGCCCTAGCTGTGGAGGAGATTTGACAACCCATTTCTTGTAAGGCCAGAACCATGTGGCTGAAGCTGCCAGGTTCTGCTGCTTGCTGGGGCTGGGCCATGGTCCTCTCTTTGAATTATATTAGCTGCAGCTTTCTGCTGTTAATGGTTTCCTTCATGCTTAAGTTTTTCTTTAATCCCTTTTTACAAGTTGGAACCTTAGCCGAGTGGGATCTTGCCTTGAGGCCACCATTCCCTTTATTCCACTTGGCATCTGGCTTTTCTTTAAATTTTTTATCTTTTTAAACATTGGACTTAGCTCCGTTCCATTTCCGGCGATCGTTTTCTCCTCACACAGTCCATTCTCCATTCCTCCTTGCCTGTGTGCTCCTTTTCATGATAGACCTACGTGAGCATGCGTGCTAGTCACCAAGGACACAGTCAGTGCCATTCATTGTAGACCTACGTGAGCGTGCGTGCTAGTCACCAAGGACTCAGTGCGATTCACTATAGACCTACGTGAGCGCACGCGCGCGTGCTAGTCACCAAGGACAGTCAGTGCGAGGCTGTCGTGAAAGCTCCTCCAACAATGCCATTAATCCAAAACTCTTCAATTTACCTTCCAGCAAATTTTTACAACGGTGGCAGAAAGCGACCACACTCTTTGTCAAATATCACAAGCATCTCTACGCCACTTACTAATATTCTTTCCCTCTGATATATCTTGACCTGGGCTTCACAGTCCAAATCACCCTCAGCTGTCTTCCATGCTCCTACCAGAATGGCCCATTATGCACAAGAATGGATACATTAATAACATATAACAAGTCATTCATTTTCTTTGGCAAAAAAGTCGATTTTGTCCCTCCTGATTTTTTTTGGTGGGGTGGGGTGGGGTGGGATGGGGTTCAATATATTGAATGGGGTAAAATATAAATAAACTATAAGTGTAAAATAAATAAATCTGCACTCAGGTTCTACCAGGTGAAAAAGACTTACGAACAAGAAAGTAAAACTATTACTTTCACTGAGGTGTCTGGGGGGAAGGTGCAACTAGTGGCCAAGCAGTGAAAATGTAGTTTCTCTCTTGCTGTCGAAGGTGTCCACAAAGCAAGGTTAGGAGAGACAAAGATGAAGCACAAGGCAGGGAGTGCCACCTCCTAATTAGTATAAGTGGGTTGGTCAATGTGAGCCACCTTTTCGCCTCTGATAGCACAAGAAGCTTCTTTGGGTCTTGGCCAGCCTTGTTCTCAAGTCTCGAATTGGTAGGTAAATGTTGAATAAATGCAGGAAATATGTGTGTGTCCCAGGTGCCAGGACATAGAAGCGGCCCAGTGGGAAGCAGATACGGTATTAAAAACTGTTAAGTCTCCAAACGCAACATTTCTGGACCTAGGAACCCCTTAGACAACAACATGCAAACCTTCGCAGTAACTTCCCCGGGAGGCGATGGCAAGCGACTGCGCTTGCGCAGACCACTTTCCCCGCCCCCTTCAGGCGTGAGGGCCAGCGGGGCGGGCCTCGGCCGCCACGGGCCGACTCCGGAGGGGCGGGCCGAGGAAGGGGCGTGGCCGCTATGTCGGGCTCCACCACCCTCTTCCGGGCTCCGCTGGCTGCGCGCGCATCCTCCCCCCTTCTTTTGTGGTCCGGCCCATTGCGAGGGTGACAGGAAACCCTGTGCAGGGAGCGCCGCCATCTTGGACCAGCCCGAGGAGGATCCTGAGGGAGCCGCAGGAGCAGCCGCCGCCACCACTGCGCCTGCCGCCGGAGCGTCTGCAACCTCGGGCCAGCCCGCCTTCCTGCGTCTGCAACCTCGGGCCAGCCCGCCTTCCTGCCGGGTCTCACCCGACGGATCCCGGCCGCTCTCCCGCCGCGTCCGCACTCCGCTTCCTCGTCCTGACGTCCCCCTCCCGTCCGGAAAGCTGCCCAGCCACCAGCAACCCCCCAGGTAACCGAGGCCTTCGCAGGGGCCGCCCGGCGCCGGCCCCCGGGGCCGGCCCTTCCGAGGGGCGGAGGGGAGCCGGGAGGTGGGCGGGCGGCGCCCCGGACAGGCCCCGCAGCGGGCCGCGGCCAGCCCGTGGGGCGGCGGAGGGCGCCGGCCTGACAGCGCTCTGTGGGGCGAGCTGTCGCCCGCGCCACCCGGCCCGGCTCGTGCTCCCGGGCTGCGGTCCCGCTCCGAGGCGTGCGGGGAGGGTGTGTTCCCACCTCATCTGCCGGCCTGCGGGACGCGGCCGCGCAGGCCCGGGCCTCGCCTCCTTTGCCCGCAGCTTCACACCGCCCCCGCCCGCAGTGTTTCCCCACGCGTGTCACCGTCCTGCCACCCACGAGTGCCAGTGGCGGCAGTCCCACCCCAGGCCACATCTTCCCCTCCTTACAAAAGGCAGCGCTTCGGCACCGCGCGCTGGCTCCCGTGTCCTTGTCGCAGCCGATCTGTGGTCGGGGATAGGGTCGGGGACAGTTGGCGAGGTCCTGGGAGTCCCTGTGAAGTCCCTGGGCAGCCCGCGCGCCTTACAACCTATACAGCATCGATAAATAACGAAGGAGAAAAGTTTTGGGCATCTTGAACATTTGAGAAAAGAAGGTGGCATGGGACTGCTTCGAGAGTTTGCACGCCACTGTGTGCCAGGCACGGGTTTAGGTGTCTTCACGCGTACCTTGCTCCGAGTGCTTTTTGAGAGTTTTCCGCATTTTTTAAAATAAGGGACGGGGGACGAACTGAGGCTAGAAGTTGTCCTGTAGCTGAGTAATGACAGCACCCGCAAACGGGCTCCTCCCCACACTGGCTGCTGTATTTTGTACTACACTACGTTCAGAGACGGTTGGACATACACGACGTGACCGTTTCAGAGCAGTGGCAACTCAATTCCATTTTTCCTCTAGTGCACTGGGTGATAACGGGTAACACCCAAAATCTACCATGTCAGCTGCTACCCTGGCAGATGCTCATTGGAGGAGAGGTGGTAGGATTTCCTCTTTTATTTGTGAAGAAAGCTCTGTGTTCTTGGTGGCTGCACAGCCGAGTGTTAGAAACTCTGGAAAGTTGGCTGCTCTGGCACGCAGGTCTAACTATCTTTTATGTAAATGTGATCATCAAGGACAAGTTTGACCCCAGGGTAATCCAGCTTCCCTGCTTTCTACAGTTTTTCTGGGGAATTGCTGTAACTAGGAAGTGGCAGTACCAGAATAGGAATTCAAGGCATTTACACTCCAAAACCTTAACCTGCCTGCTTTCAGGCGTGACCAAGTAAAATGCCCAAACTATAGCGTCCTGGTTACTTAATTGACCCTAACTAGGTAGGTTAACCCCCCAGATTCAGTGTCCTTATTTATAAAGGGAGTAATTGTGCCCACATTTCAGAATTACTTCAAGGATTAAGTAGACTTTAAAGAAAGCTCTTAGTACCTTGTTTGGCATGAAGTGCTTCAGTGTCTCTGATTTTGCTAGGCTTATAATAGGTGTTTAATATCTGTTGAATGAAAGGAGCATGACTTTGGAATAGACCCTGGGATTAATCCTGTCTTTTTAGTAGTATATAATCATCAGAATATCACTTTTGACCTGGTTTCCTTATTTGTAAAATGAATTTTTAGGATTAGAGATTGTTTATGAAGTAGCTGGTTTATATTAAGCACTCAATAAGTGAGTTTGTTGTAAAGATATAAAAAACCTTAGATTCTAATAACTATTGAAAATTTCTTGGAATTAGGCTATTTTTCTTTTAAAAAGTCTGCTTTCTATTTTTTATCTTAAATTTTATAATTGTAAACTTCGACCTTGCAAAAGAGCTTGGAAATTTCTTGCAACCAATTTTATATTATATTTGCATAGTCTTAGTAAGACATGTAAGATATGTTGAAACTAAGCTATTAAGATGCTTGTGTCATTAAAAATGTTAGCAATGTGGGAGGGGAGCTATTAAGGTGGCTCAGCAGGTAAAGGCTCTTGCTGCCAAGCTTGACAATCCGAGTTGGATTCTGGAACCCATGTGGTGGAAGAAGAGAATGAATTCCTGCTTGTTATCCTCTGACAGCCACGTATGTGCATACGCATACACACAAAACAAACAGCTATGGAAAAAGCTGTGGCAGGGACAATATTAGTATTAAGAGATAACTATATTATATATAATCTATTGTCCATAATGCTAGATTATATATAAGAGATACTACATTTCAAACTTCTTAAAGTTTGCAAAATAAAAAAGTATATTGGGTATCAGTTTAATGAGCATTACTATCGTATCACCCATTAGTTGGTGTCTGCGGTGAACAGTCTTGTTCTAGCTATGTGCTGCTCCTCCCAAACTCATCTGTATTATCAGGAATATTTTTACTCTTAATAGTCCTTTCAAATGCAGGTTTCATACTTTTAAAGATGGATAAGAAAAGAGGGTGCAGAATTGGAGTACCTTATTTCTTATAGCATACTACCATTAGTGGGAAGATTAATATACAAATGTATAACTTTAAATGACTTGTGGAAAGTTGGTCTCAGAAATGGACAGGTTGTTTTCAGAGGTTGTAATACTATTATGGAAAGGAAATTGACCATTTTTGATTAGATTATTAGATTGACTATGGAAGTTTTATGTCTGCCTGGGTGATAAGTTGAGTAGCATTCCACTTCAGGGCTTCTAAGCAAGAAGGCATCCATTCTTGAGTTCTGTGAATTTAGAGACAGTGTTACTTCCGTTTTTTGATCACTGTGAAAACCTTTAATAGTGGTTTGTGCTTAGTAGATAATAGGTGTTTTCATATTGTTGGTGTTGGAATCATAAAAGTAGTCTTGTCTCCAGTAACAAAATGCACAAATAAAAACCTAACACCAAAGAGTGATACTAAGAAAGACTTTAGATCACCAGCAAAATTTAGTGGGTTGCAGCAACACCCCCTTTGGGTATGTATCCAAAGGATGCTCAACTGTGCTACAAGGACATGTGCTCAACTGTGTTTATAGCAGCATTGTTTGTCATAGCCAGACCTGGAAACAACCTAAATGCCCCTCAGCTGAAGAATGGATTAGGAAAATGTGGTACATTTACACAATGGAGTACTACACAGCAGAAAAAAACAATGACACCTTGAAATTTGCAGGCAAATGGATGGAGCTAGAAAACATCAATTGAGTGAGGTAACCTACACTCAGAAAGACTATTATAACATGTACTCACTAGTAGGTGGTTTTTAAACATAAAGCAAAGGAAATCAGCCTACAAATCACAATCCCAGAGAACCTAGACAACAATGAGTCTCTAAAAGAGACATACATGGATCTAATCTACATGGGAAGTAGAAAAAGACAAGATCTCCTGAGTAAATTGGGAGCATGGGGACCTTGGGAGAAGGTTCAAGGGGAGGGAAGAGGGGAACAGATGCTTTCCCCTTACTGTTGAATCGGCTATGTAAAGATTGTATAGTGTTCTGAGGAATAGACTACAAAAATCATAGACCAGTGAATGACAGTGTATAAACAAACACATAAGGAGTTAAAATAGAAGCCTGAGAACATGCCTGTTGCTATTGGGTGCTTTGATTTTTACTCTGAGGTCTGTACCAATACCTTTAAAACTAGTCATTTGGGGCTGGGGAGAGATGTCTCAGTGGGTAAAAGCCCTTGCTGCTCTTGCAGATGACCCAGGCTCCAGTCCCAGCACCCACATGGTAGCTCATAACCATCCATAACTCCAGTTTTGAGAGATCTGAAACCTTCCTTGACCTCTGTGCCCACCAGACATTTGGGTGGTGCACATACTACACATGCAGGCAAAATGTTCATATCCATAAGATAAATTTAAAAAATTAGTCATTTATATAATCTTAGGAAGGGATCGGATTCTGTTTGGCACAACAGTGACTAGCATATAATATATGTTTAGTAATCTTTTAGCTGTAAACGTATTGACTCTGGAATATATATGATTTTATTAAGTGAAAAGAACATGGTGCATGTGTGTTTGTTGATTTTTCAAGATAGGGTTTCTCTGTGTAGCCTTGACTGTCCTGGAACACACACACACACACACACACACACACACACACTCTCTCTCTCTCTCTCTCTCTCTCTCTCTCTCTCTCTCTCTCTCTATCTATCTATCTATCATCTATCTATCTCCCAGGCTGGCCTTGAACTCAGAGATCCACCTGCCCTGCTTCCCAAGTGCTAGGATTAAAGGTGTGTGCTACTCCAACCCACCTATGTTGCTCGTTTTATGAACTGGTATTTTCCATCCCCTCC